TCATGGCGCGGAGGATGTGCAGCGGCGCGGCAACTGCTGGTGGCACGGCGCGGCAGGTTCTTCACGGTGAGAGGAGGCTGCTTGCAGCGGCATGAGAGGTTCGTCTGCGGTTGTCCCATGGCGTGGAGAGGAGGAGTTGGAGTACGTAGGCTCGCGCATGGCGTTGTGATCACAGGCGGTGAACGGATGTGCGAGGGGCTGGTTCGAGCTTGGAACGACCTCCGAATTTGCTTTCATTTTCTTCTATGTGTCGATAACGAAACGCTTTAACCTGCACACCAACGACAACGAAACAAACGCAGAAAACGAGACAAGAAAATAAACTAAAAACATAGAGAGGACTAAATTAAAGAAAGATACGAAAGGAACTGCAAAACGAACTAAAAACAAACGAAAAGACTCGAAATGGGGAAAAAGAAAAGGAAAATAACAACTAAAAACGTAACAAAAATGGGACAAACAACTCCCCCACACTAAGACCTTTGTCCGTCCCGAACAAAAAAGAAAAGAACAGAAAAGACACAAAAACAAGCAAACAAGCATGGATAACAGCTTCAGACAAGACAAGTCTCAGATTTGTCAACTCAACCGAGGAGAATTCCAATGACAAATCATGCATACCTCAACTACACTTGAATGCAACATTTCGAAAAGACAACTCTCGAGCGCGGGAATATAATATATATATATATATATGCCTCACTCAGTTTCTTTCGTGAATATAGAACTGGGACTCTCAAATTGGTCGATCATCATGCATCAACATAAGCTTGCTCATTGTCTATTCATACTCTAAAACAATCAAAATAATGAATTGTAAATCTAAAGGACTTTCGGGTTGCAGTGTAGGCATCAGGGAAGGAAAAATATAAAGACAGAATGGCTCAAATAAACAATCACATCTTCGAGCATAAAAACTACTCGAATATCTCACCATCTATCCAAAATCAGCACAACATCAATTATTCTCATCAGACCTCCATGCAACAAATACATATGCTCAAGTTGAATTGCACTTCAAGTACTCAACTTTTTCTTCTTCTTTTTTTTATTATTATTCTTTTTTTTCTCTCTTTTTTTTAAGGGGGTTTGCTTTTTTT